TCGCATTCAATAAGAAACTACGAGTCTAAATATAAGTAGAATGCGTACTCTGTCCCACAAAGGGAACGACCAACGGCAGAGAATTTATCCTTTTTTTCAATACACTCTGGTTGTGTCGTCACCCATTCAAATGATTTAAATTTCTTGGTCACTGCTAAATTACCCCGACACCGAGAATACTTTGAACAACCCTCGTATCTAAAATCAAGTGGAGGTATGGCCCTGATCCTAATGCCCACAAAAGGGAACAAGCAGTCCATGGGATATCGTTTTTGTAGTGCTGGTAGGGTCTAGTCTATCTCATTCGCTGACGGGCTCAAAAACTCATCCGACCTTGGGACACAACTTTTCCGGAGCGCATTCTGATGCTCACCGCGGCTCATGCTGCCACTGTAAAAGTATTCTCGTCATCGCTACACTGCTACCATAGAGTAATCCTTCGTATTATGGATGTAGCGCGCACGACCGTTGTGTGAAACCCACCTGGGGGGTCATGTTTAACTGTTGACGGGAACGTCGTTCATACGGGGTTCCAAAAAGAATTTTATAATTGCCGACTCTTCTGTTTTCCTCGCATTCTCCTCCCCCTAAGGAGACGGATAAGACAATCGTATTTCGCCTCGCCGTCGCGTGCGGCGCGGTAGTTTGGACGGTTCGCGGCAAATTCTCGATCTACGTCAGTTTGTCGAATAACGCAGACTATAACTTATACGAAATCAGACAGAGACAAGATTCAAGGTCTAGTGAAACCTGACTTTACTGTCTCTTCGACATTCAAGTCCACGCGGCATGCAGCGACAACTCGCCCTTCACATGCGCGACGTCGCTTGATACGCCCACGCGGCATACTGCGATTGCCTAGTAACACATTGTTTCTCTCCCTAACGACAAGCTTCTAAGAACTATCAAGAGATGGTAGATGGCAGATGCTGAGGTCGTGCGAGAGAGACGAAGAACGAAGGCAGCACCGTAATTTCACCCATATTCCACCCCTGCACGGCCTCACCCTTCGTAGGTCCATTCTGAACAAAACCTTACCATTGAAAATCCAATCCAATTAGCCCCTTCCCCCCCCACAGTTTCGAAGCTTCCATCAGGATAACATTCGCCAAGCTGCCGGACGTCTAATGTGATAAAGAAAACCTTAAAAAAAGCAAAGAAATAAGGTTAAACTTTTATGCGTTTCTAATCGAAGACCCATGTTAAAATCACATTCCAAAACCAGATTTCCGTACCATCACAAAGCCACAATATAGACGATGATAAGGTTATAAATAACAACGCCCGCACAAAGAACGTTCATAGAAACACCGAAACGGCCTGATTAGATCTCGACATAACGTTGAATTAGAATTTATAGGAGGAATCAATTGCAGAATCAGTTGCAATTCACTATAGCGTGGCGATAAGTGGCACAGTCCACGCTGGTAAGATGGGCGGGGTTGGCCTTGCCATCAAGACCCCTTTTGGCGCGCCGCTATTCACCGCATCGGAAAGACGACCGCAGCAGCGAAGGAGGAGCATTAGGCCCAACTCCGCCCACATAACCAGCGTGGACTGCACTGTCAAGTTTTAGCTCTGGTTCACAAGGTTTTGAATATGAATAATGATGAAAGAGACGAACAGAAACACTACTTCAGACACTTGATGGACCCTAAAGCTATAGTCAGTGCAGCAAATAACCTGTTTCATACAAATATAGTAATACCTTCTGTTTACAATTAGACTTCCGTAAAAAGAAAACACAGGAAAATATCGGAGAGCACGTCATAAACGATAAATACATTTCAAAAATTTGAATAGGAACTTTTTTAGGAATTTAATGGGCTCTCCAGAGGGTTCGGAAAACAGGCAGTTCAGATAGGAAGTACGGTCGTTGGAGATTTGCGTATGAATCCGGTACATATACTTGACATGAACCGAAGCCCTCGTTCACCACCGGGAACATATGACAGGATGAACCTGAAATCAACGATTTAAAGTCATTGAACATCTTCTCAAGCAGTATCCAACCAAATTTTAAGAAAATATTTTTGCGAAAACTCATTGCCATCTTCCTAAGCTCTGGTCCGAATTCATCTGGATATGGACCCTTGAACGAGGGCATAAGGCAGCGTTCACACCTCGCGACGAGACGCGCCGTAACGCGCATGACGCGTTCAATGCAGTAGACGCGAATGCAGCCACAATCGTGAAATCGCGCGTTGGGTTTTGAGAGAGGGTATGCAGGAGTAGAAGGGCATGTTTTCCCAATCACACATTTTGTTATCTATCGGCACTGGCCACAGTGCTTTGAGAGTCTCTAGAAAAGCAGGAAGGTACCGCACTCTGTGAAGGCAGCGAGCCGTTACTGTACCCGGTATACCCTCTATCTTCTAAAAAAAACGAGAGGCAGGCGTCAGCGTGATCCCATCGACGTTGCGCTTTCTAATAGTACTGACCGCTCCTGCAGTGTTCGCGCGTCGACGCGCGTCATCACGAATCTACTGCCTAATTGTACATTCGATCGGAAAAGAAACAAACGAGCAGACATAAAATCTGCCTCGTCTGATAGGACCAGTTAGTTTCCATGCTTCCTCAAAGGGCATAGACACATAAATTTAGTATCGGTCATAAGGTAGTGGATTGCTATATGGTGGGGAAAATGGCGAAAAAGCTAAGTGAAACGGTCAAGAACCTGCAAAAAAGCCTCTGTTCTACACGACCCAGAAAGCAATTTCGGACAATTTTTCCCTTGGCACCGTGCCAAAAACCGCCACGTACACCGGCGCTAATAACGCCCTACGGTCCACATTTAACCCGACGGCAGGCTTCGTATCAAAACCCTTCGCTTCAATATCTGTTCTTCGCAAATGAAACGATAGCACGCCTCAGAATCGGTTGGACATTTGTAAACGGGCGGACGCGGTGGGCGTTTGGGTCGGTTTGTTGCAGTTTGATAGGTCGCTATAAGGGTACCTTCTTTCGGAGAAGGACGCCACGCAGCGCCTGCTTAGAGATGCCGCCTTCTGTCTTGCTGGACGTATTTATCCTACACGCCTTGTGGATTTATCGTGCGACTTGCTCAAGCAGCTATGCGCACGAGGTATGTTCTACTGAGTATGGGTATCCTCTCTGTAGAAAATTCTCAATAAATTTGTTCAGTGAGGTCCACTGCAGATATGGCAGTCGTAGTCAATTTCCAGAGATATACAGGGGGGGGGGGGGCAGAAAAAGTCACTTTCCTTTCTTCAAATTGACTTTCGAGGCGCTATAAGTTACACTTTATTAAATTCTGATCGGACATTTTTACCACCATATTAAAGAGCATATTAAATACTATCACGACACTCCACAGCCTTCCTGGACGAGCGCCGAGCGCCATCGAGAGATTCTGGCACGCGACCGCGATGTGGTGCCTGAGATCAGCGAGATAGTCGATTTCTCCGCCACCGTAGACCACCCTATTGAACTCCGCCCGAACCGGTAATTGAGGGGATTCAGGTCAGGTGACCTACTTGGATATTCCACCTTCTTTAGGTATTCAGCCCCTTCCATTCAAGTAGGCGAGAGTTTCTCCAATGCCCTTCGATTCCATGTGGTGGCACCCAATGCTGTAGCAGTACAAAGTTTCCAAGAAGGTACGGGCGACGACATGTGAGGAGGATATTCTTCACGAGTTGCTCGATGTAACCGCCAGCGCTCACCTTCAGTCCGGGGCCCACGAAGAAAAATTGGTCTTTCCATTCCAGGTACGTCCGGTCCATACATCAAGGGAGCGAGACCGCGCCTAGTGCGACTGTGGTGATGATGATCCTAGCACCGTGTTCGAAGGTGACATGAATTCCAAAGGTCTTCTCCAGTCAGGCTGCGACTGGAGATGACTTCATATTTTGGTGTACATGAAGGTGATGGGCGAGAGCCAGCTCCTGCTTATAGAGGAACATCTTGGGTATCTTCCGCCCTGGTACTCGTATCCACAGTCCTGCTGTCTGGGGAACGACAAATTTCGCTAATAATGTGTCTCTGGTCGAAGTGAAAAAACTTTTTTTTTTTTTTTGGCCCCCGGCCCCTGTATTGTCCTTAGTATGCACCCCCTCTTAAACCAGCGCACGGCAAGCTCACATCCCTTACCTGCTGATAGGTAATATTCCCAAGTCATGCCAGTTCATGAAACTTTGAAAAGGTGAAGCTTTGAAAGTTCGGCGTTGTAGGTTTTCCTTGGAATGCCGCATATATTCTGTTTTAATCTGAAATCGCAAAAAAGACAAGTGTCACGCCAACTATCAGCGGTAGGCATTACCGTTTCGCGAGTTAAATTTTCATCATGGTTCTTCCCTCCTGGGACGGTGAATTGGAACCAGATCGGGGCACATTATTAGTTGAGGATTTTAGTCGAGTCCGTACGTCCCCTAGAAGTGCCTTGATAGGGCCCCCCATTGTTCCCTCATCTAATTCGATGGAGATCGAGCGGGCGGCGGGGGACACCACACACACTATACACACACACACCAAACACCACACACACACACACACCACACAGCACACAACACACACGACACACACCCCACCACACACACTTGTTGAAACGAAAATAGCTAAAAGCCAACAACTGGGAAATTTTTCCCAACGCTGCAAATTTCTTCCGAGAGGTAAATACGATCGTATTTTGTATTTTTTTTTGCTCATACCTAACAATGAGCAACATGACCCACATCATTAATTACGTAAAACAACAGAGCACTCACTAATAAGAAAAGTTTTTTTTATCTCCAAGAGACCGAATATGACCGCCCCCTTCTGTTGGCCAGCCCCAAGGGTGAGTGCCCCCACGAGATCATCGTCGGGAGGAAGCACAGGACAGAAAACTGACTTGTGGATCAGCTAACCCGCCTAATCGCATAGGCCACATCGCATTCAATAAGCCACTACGATTCTGAATGGAAGTAAAATGTGTGCCGCATCCCACAATTGATCAGCGTCGGAAAACTTTCTTTTGATTTTTATATCAGTCGTGGAACCATTTCAAAGGACGTTTACACTCCCATAAATTACACCCTATACCATACTTAGCGAAATACCGCATTGGAATAAATGTCATAAGAAAAATTAGTATGTCATCTACTACGTCATCACATCAGCGCAAGCCGAATGAGCACTATGGAATGGCTAAAAGCATGCAGGACACAAACATTATAGTTCTGCAGATGGAAAATTCTCATCACATTAGCTTTATGATTGATAGTGGTCCCATTAGGACAAAATGGACGGGAGTTTTTTGACTAGTGAGTCCCCAATGCAGGGAAAGGTAGGGGGGTGGCGCATTTCGTGGCTGGAGGGGAGAGAGATCGTATCTTATGATGATGCTCCCCAAACCTGACCAGGAAGTGGGCTGATAGGGAATCCCATTACACCCCACATCCTTTTCTCTTCCACCAATCCTGCGCTCAACATTCGTCTATATACAGCTGAGAAGAGTGCAGCTCTCCCGATCAATTATCAGAAATATCGAAATCGCCGCACTACCCACAGAGGTGGGAAACCAGCAATCAGGATAACCGAGCCTCTCACGACTCCCAAAGGTGAAACCCGCGATCATTCGCCATCACAGATAGTGGATTAGGGGTTCGCATATAGACGACAAGGTTCTGAGTAACTCGATAGTGAAGAAAAAAGCAGAAAAAAAACATGCCACTGCCCTAGATAGAACCCCATAGATCAGATCCCAATAGATCCCATCCTAGTTTGTACGTGCCCAATTAACTCCATCTCCAACACTACGCCCTCATCCGCACAGCTGATTCCCCGATAAGAACTCTACGACCGTACAAGTGACGATTTTCATGCTTTTTCGTCCTGCAGCTTCGTTTTCACTGAAAGGCGGTCTTGAAGGCGGAGTCTGGAGGCGGAGTCGCTGGAAAAAAGGAGGCTCCACTGAACCTATAATACGCTAGCGCCCTTGCCTCACAATTTTTTGCCGCAAAACCCGGTACAAGGTTTTCGTACACACTACATCCGATGCCAATTTATTTCAATTTCTATACCTGGTCGCGGACCGTGCCTTTAAGCTCCCTAACAACCAAGTTGGACTTCTCCGTTTAGGATTACTCAGCGCACGCACGTTTACTGTTGTCTTGATTTTTTAATAACCAGTAGGTGAGCAGACGTACAACCACTTGTTTCTCTTCTCAGACCAACCCTGCCTACTGTAATATCATCTCAAATTCTCTCAATTCTCCAGAAAATTTTCAGTTTTCCCCCGAAAAGCTGCCTTCTAGCAGGAGGGAGGTCTCACCAACCCGTTACTAATTTCAACTATCAGAGGTAGTAGTAATTCTGCGCCGCCAGCAACTAGGGTGAAGGGCAAAAAGGGTAATACCTTCCCCCCCCCCCTCTCCCAACGATGCTTCCTCCTGTCTTCAAACACCAATGCGGCTGAAGTGGTCATTTTCAGGCAATGATCAAACATCGAACCCAAGTATCCACTCATACATCATTTCTGCTCTTCCCAAGCGTGGAAACCTTAAATTAATGATAATGTTGCCGAACAAAACGATCAAACACCATACACTCACCGCCGCACGCAATCCCCTGTTTTTTACCCACGTTTTTAATTAATTTTTTTTGTCGATGCCCACCAGCGGTATTGGACACCATTTCCCCCATGAATAACATGGCACCCTCATGGCAAGCAATGGTGACATAATCCTGGCCAGAAAGCTTGCCGTTTCGGCTTGCCCCTGGCGATATACCATTTACTTCAGTCAACAACAATAGAAGGATCTTTAATGACAATTAGCCATATTCAAGGAATGAGAACGGGGAAGGGAACCGGATGGGACTCATAAGAGAGCCCATTTACCCACCACTGAAATGACCCACTTCCATTCCCCCAACGAGAGAAGGCATAACGACGTTGGTCAAACACTGAGCAATACGCCGTTCTTTCGAACTTCACAGAGGAGCCATTATTTCAAATTCGAACGGGGAAGCTCAGGACGTGAATAGGGCTCTATACAGGAGGGGTGGTACGCTGGCAAATGACGCTAGCCACACACGAACGGTCACGGGGCCAACTCCCGCACTGACTCCGCTCAGGACAACCAAGCCTTCCATTTCACCGAGGTCCAATGGTTACTTCTACACCTGTTCCAGAAGATGAAACCATCTATCTGTGCATTGGCCATCCCGTCTTGTGAGCGACGATTCCTCGCTAGGCATGCGACGTGCATGATACCCCGCCAAAAATATTTTGTAAGGCCAGAGTCGCATTTACGCAGACAAGTTCTATCGTGAGGGATTGATCAGCATCGAAGCCTCACCCCTCATCCATATCATCCATATTTTCATCTATAGAGTGATTTAACCAGGTTCATCAGGACTCATATCCTCCCACACACCACAAACCTCCAATTAACTTACCGCGAAGAATAAGAGTATATGATAAGCATTCCGATTTCGGAAGAAGCAGCGAACATAAGCGGCTTCTGATTCACACCGCAAATATTCCTCACAAAGAGGATAAGGCCGAACAAGACCAGAAAAAAAGTTGCTCTCCATTCGGAAAAGGAGCCAATTCGATCAGTAAGACGTTCGAGATGTATGAACTCTTGAAAGGCACGTTCGCCGATGAAACCTAGGCTAGAGACCGTCATAAACTGTGCAGATGATGATGCAAGCAGGCAACAGTACAGGATATGCTGCTTTTAAAAGTAAAAAAAAAACAGCGAGCAGAATACATGGCGCTCATGTTTTGGGCCCACTGGCGCACGATAGACATGCCGGCCTCCGTGACCGTGGTTGGAGAATGCCAGTTGGCGCTGTCTCGCCCCGGTTTCTGGCCTCCGTCTCTTATCAGTGTATCGCCGCCTTTTGCAATCCACAATCGATCTTGACCACCTTACGCTCGTCCGGTGATCATGATCAATTGAAATAAAGAGGGTCTTATTGCGGGCGCTTTTTCGTGGTTCCTTCTCTTCAATAAGTCAACAATCACAGGGCAATTCTATTTTTGAACTGTATTACCTATGAAGTGTGGTCGCGGGAATTGCCTTTAACTTTATTCCAAAAGAAGGGCACTGTAATGAAACAGGAGCGGTGTCGTCTTGGAGGGATATTTTGCACTTCCGCTAGCTCCTTCTATTAGTTTATGCTAACTAACACGTTTCACTTTGGTTACACCTGTAAGCTCCTTGAAGCTGCGAAATGGTACAAGCGAACCACCTAGATTACAGGAAGTCACAGGTTTTCACGAGATGGCCTCTACAAACTTAGCTGAGCACCACTGTGCTCCCATCAAGCCAAACTGCGCCGAAATATGGGTTTCAAAACCTATGTTTTTTATACGAGGTTCAGTTGAAAGACGTACAAACAGCCGACGATGACGCACACATTCCACGAACCTTGACACCTGCCTGGACAATCGCAAGGAATCACAAGGTTTAAGTGTCCGACTTTTTTTCCTCAGTGATCGATACAGAGCAGACCACAGCTGTTTACAATCGCTATAGAAAGGTGTGTAATCACAGGTGTTGTGATACTAGACAAGTTCTATATAGTATATCTAGAAGCCGATATCACGAATCTGTTCAGAAATCTTGCTAATTGGGGGGGGGCTCCATGATGTTATATCCCAAAATAGGAATGCTCGATGAATTCTCTTCGACAAGCTTACTTGAAGACAGCGTTCGCGGTTGACCAATGTGAACAGGGCACGTCGCACGCTGGGAACGTCGCGGTGGTCGTTTTTGGTCGCTTGGGAGGGAAGGAGGGGGTGGTCGTACTTGACCTGCGAGAAACTCTTTTACAGCTGATTTTTTTGACTTTTCCCTGCTTCGTACCACTTTCCCAAAAGTTTTCAGTTCCACGAAGAATTCTGTCGTCAGGGGGGTAGGAGGCCCGCGGGGGACTCCCAACGTAAGAGAGGCCCTCTTTGGGTGCACTGACTCGAATGCAAGCAACCAACCCCTATTTCGCGCTTTTTCAAACTGATTTCAATTCATTTTTAAGGGCGGGGAAATCGTATCTGTCAAGAATGTATTAGCGGCCACTCATTAGTATTACCGTTTTTGTAACTTGAAGTGAAATGGCTTTCAATTCCCTAGACCCCCGCCTTCAATGTGCTAAATTGTAGGAATGTAAGCACACATTCCCAACAATTCTCCACATCGTTTCAAGGAATCGATCTCACAATTGTCATTTGTTTTTCTCTAATTTGTTTTTGTTAAACTGCGGTTTCCATAGATACATATTCCGTGCTTGTTTGTTATCTTCGCTTTCGAAGCCATCAATTTTTCAGAAGAATTGGAAGAGAATTCTCATTCGGACAACAAGCAGTAATAGCTGGACAGCGCCGCATGCGAACAATCACCGAATTCTTCCAGACTCTTTTAAAAATAGACCTGTTTACATGTACTTGGGGCCTACTTGTACCACGCGTTAATCATCTCTGACAAGAGCAGTTACTGGTCTTCCAGTTGGTTTTCATTGTTTCACTGAGTCAGCCAGCCCTTCCATTGAGAAGGAGAGCTCTTCCAGCCGCCACTTCTTCTTCTCCCTCTCGCGTTAATCCCGCGCCATCACGGGTCCCTTGCCCTTGTGAGACGTCGCCACCGTTTCCTATATAAGACATCTTTCATCTTCTGCCGTAATCTTGACTTCAGCGACTTTTTTTAAGGCTCCTTCATTTTTTTAAGCATCGGGTGGTGGCTGTGGCTCCGAACGCCACAGGTTGAAGCCCTGCCTGAGTTGACTATCCAACTCTTGAGCTTTCATTTACGCCATGTTCTGAACCTGTAAGCTCCGTGGTTTCTGGACAAAAGAAGCCCTCACTTGAGTGTCAATGTTTACTTCAGCCCTGTTTGGCATGGAGGGGGCATTTTGCGCTTTTGCTAGTTCCTTTCAAAGAACATGTCTTACCTCGGTAGACCTGCAAACTTTTGTAAAACTGCAAAATGGTATGAGCGAGCTACTCTAATCACAGACATTTGCAGGTCTTTCAAAGGTGGTCCTTCACAAGCTCAGTCGGGTGCCATTCGGTGCCCCCGCACGAGTACCGAACTGTGCTCCTACTTCTAAACGTAAGCCAATTTAGATGAGTCCCTTCCATTTTTTGCCGCGACTTTTCGCGCCCTTTTTTTATAGGTCGAGTGTGGAAGCTCCTCATCAGCAAGTACTCAACTCAAGTACCCTTGTTCTGCCTCCAGCCTTTCCCGAGATCGCTCGAGAACCCGGTCTGAATAACACTATGAGCCAGTCCAACTCTCGGGAAGCCCACCGAAGGTAGCTCACGGCCCTGGTACTGTGTCAACACCTAACGGGGCACAGTAGAAAAAAAACCGACCTTCACCCCTGGAGAGTACCCCTAATATTTTTTTTCGCACGAAGTGACGGGATGAGTGGGCGCTCGGAAGATGTACAACGAACACTTGTTTTAACCCATATATCTTCAGAAT